TTATTCATGATTAAGTTATAATTTCTCTGGTTCATAGTATTTTCTTAGTTTAGAAACATGTACAATTTCTGCTTTTTCTTTAGTGTGACTATTCTTTTTATTTATTTCATAATTTACACCAGACCTCTTTTGAATGATGCTATAAGGACCCCTAAAAGTTTGAGAGAGTTTTATAGTGTTAGGATATTTAAACTCTTCATACATGACTGTTTCACCTGGTGAAAAGTTTATATCTACAAATCTAGAATCGTAATAAACTTTATTTTTCTCGTGGTATCTCTTTGTGTTTTTGATAGTTATTTTCCTAGCTTCTTCAAGTGGTATCCTCTTTTAAAGGATTTTTATATGGAACTATGCCATTTAATAAATATGCCGGTGGGAATTCCGTAACTGAGTGAGGAGTTAAATTATATTCCTTTGATAAAATATGAAATTCGAAAGAATTGAAAATGATCATTAATGATGCTTGGTATTATTTCATAGATTCTTAAATGCTTTGCATTGAATAAAATTGTTTTAATTAGTAATAATCATCTTTTCAGAAATACTGTCTTTAAAAAACCTTTCATTTAAATTATATAAAATTAAATTATTTTATTATTATTATTTGAAACCAATACAAAATGTATATTGCTTTTATATAAAAATATAAAAAAAGTAAATACTTAGTAAATAGACACTTAATACCGATATAAAATTCAAAATATGTAAAAAAAAACATCTAATAGATTCAAGTCTAACTTATACAAAATAATATTCCATTAAATTTAGGTCGCTCTTTAATGTGAATAATTGACCAACAAACATTAAAAGTTAAGTACCATTTATTGTATTCAACTAAATCATTAAATGTAAGAAAACTGATTCCATTGATTTAAATAATCTTGATTATACGTTTTGTCAAAGTTTAATCAGCAGTGTTAAGGTATAAATTAAATTCCATTAAATATTTCACGCCAGAATGTCAATCAGGAAGGGTGTAAAAGTTTAAGCTTCCCAAGAATTAGGACACAAAGTTTTAAGCCACATAATAGTTTAAACGTTATAGTTTTGAAACCAACGGTGGTGGCAATCTAGTCAGCGTTGCGCATCGACCGTCTTTATTTTCCAGACAAACTGGTATCCAACATGAACTGAGTGGGTTTCAAGGTGAACAAAAAAAAAAAAAGAAAAAGTTAGACAAGAAAGAAGAAGAAATATTATATAAATGTAAAGATAAAATTGATTAATGCAAAGATTAAAATCATCAAACGATAAAACTTTCTGAGAGACTGCTGTTATTTAATACATTAAATTTACACGCTCTATTAGATACATAATATGTATAACAATAATATATACTTTATTTAATTGTTTTTACAATTAAAAATATATATTAGAGTAAAGTATTATCGCAACAGTCCGTTGTGGGCTAGGGGGTAAAGGTTCCACAATTTCGTGACCATCGCCATTATTGTGCGCACAGCTCGCCTTTACTTTCTTAGCAAGTGTCTACCCATTGATTTGAAAATGGGGAGGGGCCTTATGCCGCCACTGAAGATCGAACCACAGTTCCTTAAAATGAAAGCTCAGTGCCTTAACCACTCAGCGGTTCAAAAAATATATCGTTCTATAAACTTTAAACTTCGTATCTAAATTATTATTTTTTTAAAAATATTTAATTACGCTTGAATAATTATTTAAATGCATTAAATTCGTGTTTAACGAAAATCACTATTATTGTTATTGGGGTGCTTTTTTCCCCCAGTGCTTTCTTTCTAGTGCTTTTTTCCCAAAGTTTTTATATCCGATTTTTTTTATATCCGTGTTTCTTTCGGTGTAGTTCTAGTGTTATTTGGGTTTCAAGCTATCATCTGGGATAGTATCAATTTTAGCTGAGTGCCTTAATTACCGTTCTATCAAAAATTTGCGGCTTTCTTAAGAATTTTGAAGTAAATTTGAAGAAAATTTGAACTAATCTTTTTTATAAATATTGTTCATGAATTTGTGCTAACAATTAACTATATATTTCTTGATTTAATATTAATGTCTCATTATTTTCTTGTATTTTTTACTTTATAGTATAACTATAATGCTATTGTTTTACAATTTTTATTTGTTGCTATTAACGACTTTATTAATTGTAAGAGTTTTTATTTAGGATGGAGTATCTGCAATTATTTTAATTCAACTAAATCACTCGCACACCTTAAGGACAGCTACAGCGTTTTTATTTATGTTATATTTTTAATTACTCAAAAAATTTAACTGATACGTATGTATGTTACGTATAAACCTGCACGCAATATTTGTAAATATTAAAATATATTTTTGAAAATGAGCATTATCTATTAATTGCATTTATATATTGAAAGAGTATCAAGATATCTATGACCTCCGTAATAAATGAAGTATTTACGGACTTTTATGCATATTAAGAAATTGAATCAATTTTTCACGAAGTTTAAGATCTCATCCCATTGAAAAAGAAATAATTTAATTTTTTTTTTTTTTTTTTTTTTTACAATAAATGCTTCTAGTAATAAAACAAACGCGACATAGGGAATTGAAGAAAAATCCCTTCATTTGTAATTTTTTTCACATATTTCTTTTTTCACTAGCGAATTTCCGATTACTTTAAAATTGTAAAAATATCGATTTTTTCATTTGCAGGAAATTTTTACTTTAAAGTGTGATAACATTTTTGAATACTCTAATTTTTGTTCTTGTAAATAATATGTCTTTGTTAATTTCTAAAAAAAAATGTTCATAAAAAAATTTACATTATTCTTTTATCAAGATTGATTTAACAGAGAATATCATTAAAATGAAACAGGTTATGTTTTCTTACAATAAAAGCTAAATAGAATTAATTCTTCAAAATTCCAATAAAACACGGTATTAAAATGTTACGTTATTTTTTGTCATTGGTTCATTAATAAATTATTTTTATCACTTCGCAAACACAATTCTTGTAAAAAAAATTAAAAAATAAAATCTGTTATTTCAAAAAACTAGATCGTTTTATAAAATATAAATTATTGCGTTTAATAAAATATAAATACAGTGTATTTGTAAAGTGATCCTAACAATAAAAAGGTAATTTTCTTTTTTAAGTCTCTACTAAAAAGAATTAATGAGTTATTTTTACTCATCATGGCTAGTCGAGGAGAAGAAAAAGAATATCGATTTACACTTTTTAGATTTTTGTAATTTTGTTCTCCCACCACATTTACGCGTAATCCATCGCCAATTCCACCTGCAATCGCCAAGTTTATAAATTATGGCAGGGGTCGCCAAACTTTTTGGATCATCAACCCCTATATAATTTTTCGAAATCTCCATCGACCCCCATAAAAGTAATTTTCTGTTAATTAAAATAAAACTCTATTAGATACTGTGTTTGTACATTTATTAAAGTAATAGTACATTGTGTAACGATAGTTTTATGAAAAATATAATGTTGAAATTTAAATGCCTTAATATTTATTAAATAATAAGAAATTATGTAGGAATCAAGGAGATGGTTGTTCCTGGTGTTTTTTTGCAAGGTTCGCTATATTGGGTTCAAAATTGGTCAATTTTAATCTTAAATCCCCTCGAAACTCCACATTTAATTTATTTCTGTTACTTACTAAGTTAAGTTACTTAGTTAAGATTGAATTTATGTCACTGAAATCGGCTTCAACCATAAAGAACTTGGAAATGCTAGCATAAATGGCTGAGTTATTTTGTAAAGTTTTACATATTTTTGCATTATATTTATATTTGTCCAAAATTTGCTTATTGTTAAATTTTTAAAAAGCGTCTTAGAAAGCTTCAAGATCCGATAATAATTCAGCAAGCTCATCTTGCAGGTTGATGTCCATGTTTTCAATTTGAACAGAAAATGGCACAATAATCCAATCAGGGATGTCAATGTTTTCCAAATCAACAAAGCGCAGTTTAAAACCGTCGCTCAATTTCTGAAGATGGCCTGTATATATTTCCAAGGCTTCTTCTTTTATTTCTAATTGTCGCAGATTTGAAAAATACTGATAATTGAGCCGCTCAGAAGCCAATGCGGTTAAGTCCATTCTTTGATATTTTCTGATTTTTGGAAATTTTGATGAANCATCGCGCCGGGAACTATTTTCTTCGTTTGCCCTCAGCATATTTCTCCATTGTCAAGAAACATTGCAGTTTAGTATAACTGGAAATTAAATTAAACTTATTTCATACAAAATTGTTATTAAGAACAGTTAAAAACACACACCAGATTAAAATAATAATATTTTCAAAAATTTTGTAATTTTCGTAAAAAAATACAAAGTGTGCTAGTTTTGTCGCGGGCTGTACAAATCCATATTATTATGCCTACCTTCTTTTTTACATGTATTGATAATTAAAATTGATACTAAATTGAACGAATGGCTTTATCGAAACAATAGCTAATTATCCAAAACTATAAAAGTTATAATAGTGACACTGCAAATATTCAACACTGTTCACAGTTTGCAAAGATAGCTGAAACTGAGTATATTTTTTTTGTAACGTCAATGCTCGTCGCAAGTGACATTTGGACAAGAGCACATATGCATATGACTTATAAACCAGAAGTGCAGAGTTCGTGCCACTGACCGCTGGTACGTAAATACTTGTTTCACTCGAATAAATATACGTTTATTAATTAATGTTCTATAAAGAAACTGATATTAAGTCAATCATAAAAAAATTCACAAATTTTACATACTCAATAAGGTATGAGTGATTTGCATATTATGAACTGTTTTTTCTTCGACTCTTCCGATTCGGTCGACCCCGTGGCTCAGATCGACCCCCACTTCTGTTAAATAGACCCCTGGGGGTCTATATAGACCACTTTGGCGACCTTTGATTTATGGTATGGTTTGGCAATTCGCCACACGGAGCGCAACAATCGAGGGTTTTCCTTCGGATTCTTATGACGTCATTTAATTCTAAATGTATTGCTATCTCTATTAAAGCTATAAGCTTTGCCAATGTATCCATTGATTTTATATTTACAAGCAAAAACGGATGACAAATACAGAAATAAGAAAGTTAAAGCGATCTTGTAATGTAAATAAACAAAAAAAATTACAAAAGTTATTTAAAATTTCCCAATGACATAATAATAGATACGTACATTCACTAGGGCAGCTAAAATAAAGTTTGCAGAAGTTGTAGCTGGAAAGGAATCTATTTTTCCCAAGTAAACACTAACGCGAACAGATTTTGTAACACTTAATTATACTGTCCTTTTAAAATTAAGTAAGCATAAATTATCTGCAGTTAATTTAGGCGTGATTTTAATGTAATATTTGACTTTTTTTTTTTTGTTGCTAACTTTGCTTGTACTATTTTGAATTTTCATGAGATCTTAGAAAACATCGTCTTTTGAAGATGCTATTAGAATTTACACTAGCAACATGATTATGTTTATGCTGTTCTTTGTGTAAAATACAAGTGATTGCACGAATTATTGCAAATGTGATTGCACGAATTATTTAAAGTGTTCATGTTCCATTTATTACGTGTCATGAAGAAAGTTTGTAATTTTCTCTTGCTATAACTTCTATTAATTAAATATTGTATTAGTTAATAATAAAAGTATTTTAATGTATGAAAGTGCTGTAATAATTTTTTTTTTAATTATAAACTATTTATATCAAATAAATCATTTTATGTTACACCGTTTATATTCATTAAATGAATATTAATATCTGAAAAAAATCCTAATTTTCGAATGTCATTACATCATACTTTTGTTATTTCATTTTTTTAATTGCTAAAAATTTTTTATGTATGATTATTTATTATATTTTTATAGTTACATTAGTTCAAAAATAAAAATTTTGACATATGTAAGAAGTAAACTAAGTTGTGAGTTTTCTTTTCCTTCTCGCTATTACATGAAGTACTTTGTAGCCATCTGCACAATCTTTAGCTCAAGTTGTTTTTGGATTCAGAGTGGGAAATATGCTTTAATTGAAACTAAATTTTAATAAACTGATGTTTTTGAAATAGAATAATACTTTGTAAAAAGAAAGTCTTATAGTATTGTTGTATTAGTGCTCAGAAACATATTGATTTATGTAATCTTTATTATTCCATCACTGAAATTTCTTTTAAGTCTATAATTATATATTTTTAACAATCATGTGTCAGTGAAACTTGCAGAAATTCAGGCATTTTCAAATTTTATTTAAATTAAGAAAAAAATTCTATTTGTATTTTTTTCAAAAAGTATTGGACCTGAAAATTGTGTTACATTATGAAGATATTTCTCTTAGAAATTTTATTCAGTCAGATTATTTTTTATGTGGAATAAATTTTGACCTATGTTTAATTAATAGTTTTATTTATTATAATTTTTGATAGATATGATAATTATAATTTGTTAATTATTAGCTTTACAGAGATACTAGGTGTGGCTATTAAATAATGAGACTGAGGCTTTCTTAAAACTACACATATGGTGTATGAAAAACAAGTTTTTAGTGTATCTATAAACAGTTTCATAAGAACTGTTGCTTTTGTTGCTTGAAAAATGGATTAGATCAATGAATACACTTGAAATTTCCCACGAAGCTTTGAGAAAGTGCTACTGCACTAAGAACATATTTACAAAATGGCATAGCAATAAATGTTTATCATGTGCACAAGATTTCGAGAGATTTAAATGTTTCCAAGATCGTCAAAAAGATGATTCACCCTTGGCCTGCTCTTCAAGATCAAATACAGAAAAAAAATTTGGAAAAAAAAACAACAGTAATCTTATTTAATCTGAGGGAAGATTCGTGCACTTAATGAAAGTATATGAACTTACAAAGAAGGGGTAGGAATTTTACGCAGTACTTTTAACATCCGAAACCTGTACTGTACAAATGTGCTGCCTAAAATTTTGATGATTAAAAAAAAGAAGCTTGCAAAAATGTCTGTACTGGCAATTTAGATATCTCTGAAAATTGCCCATACTAGTAAAGAGTGATATCAAGTGCAAAATCTTTTGAGTTATGATCCTGAATCAATGCCGTGGAAGAGCTGAACTTTTACAGGAACTTGAAAAGGATGGAATTATAAAATCACAATTCAAAGTTATGATGATTTTTTTAATATTCATGTAATTGTATGCTTTTATTAGGTTAAAGAACATTAAACTTTTAATCAACATTCCTCTGCTTACTCCATGAAAGAATAAGAAAGAAAATAAAAAAAAATAACCTGAATTGTGGAAGAGGAAATGATGAGTTTCAAGTTAATGCAAAAGGTTTGTATCGAAGTACAATATCCCAGTGTTAAATCATCCTTCTTATTCTTCTGACATTGCGCAATACGATCCAAGGTCAAATATACCTAAAAAAGAATAAGATTTCTGTCCATTAAAGCTGTGAAATTAAAATAGTGTGCTTCTTAAAGAAGTTTACTGAAAAAGAGTTTCAGCACTGTTTCAAGTAATAGAAAAGTCACATGGAGCATTGTAGGGTTCGAATGGATGTAAGCTGAAAGTGATAAAAATATATATTTTACAGCAATAGTCTTGATATTTAATAACCACATCTTTTACTATATATATTATTGATTGAAAATACTAAACATAACTTATCAACAGTTTCAGGCAATATTATGGAGAATGAGTTAAAAGCTGCTTTGAAACTCTCTAGTGTTAAGTTCCGAGGATCGGCAACTGGTGGTTGTATTCATGAAGGAAAAATCTATGTTACAGAGAATGGACCAATATTTGTTAAAATTAGCAAAGACCCTATGGTATATAATTTTATTTCATGAGATAATAAATTGAGAATATAATTAAATTTGAGACTGTAATTTAATGATAATCAGTGCATGTGTGCATTAAAATTTATAGACTCCTATAGTTTATAAACTTAATGTATTCAAATTCTGTGTGTCTTTCACTTGTAGTATTTTAGTAGAAATGTATTCTTATAGTTCAGTCATTTGTTCTATAATTTAAAAATGAATTCTGACAATTATTAAATATATTTTTTTATGTAATTAGTGCTTGTAAATTTCTTAAGCTTTTAAAATATTAACATCATATAATTTTGCAAACAATATTTTTCTTATATTGTTAGAATTTTTATGTTAACGAAATTTATAACTTTTTGAAGTTAAATGTTTTATAGAATAATAATACAGCATTTCTTAATTTTATGTAATTTTGAATTTAGGCCATATACTTAAAGATAATTTTACAGTCTACTGTATTTGACTTGTTATATTGTACAAATAATTGAGAAAATCAATTTTTTTTTCACTGAAAAAAAACTTGACTTTGGAATTTCATAAGTCAAACATGATTATTGTGAAATAATGTTTTAACTCTTAACTGTCTGGAAGTATTTCAAGTTTACTTCCCACCTGGTAGAATTATAATAATTAATAATAATATAAAGTATAAGCATTTAATTATATATTTTATATTGTTATTTATCTTATTCATGACAATTATAAAATGGTGAAAAAGTAAAAACAAGTAGCCACCATGCAAGGCTCAACATCGGCCTGTTTAGGGTTAATAAAAAAAATGTGTCACATTTCAGTTTATTTTGATTTTTATGTTAAATATAATTATGCAAGTTCTTAAAGCTTTGAAACTTTTTATGACAGCTTCTATTTAAAACTTATTCTTATATTCTATTATTTTATCTAATTCATTTTTAATGAGTAATGATTACTGATTAAATTTATGTTTTGAAAGGCTCGACCATTGTTTGAAGGTGAAATAGCTGGTTTGAGAGCAATACATAACACAAAAACAGTTAGAGTGCCTACACCTATAGAGGTAAGTTAATTTTTTCTGAGTGCTAGAGGGAAAATGAATCATCTTTAATGCATAAATGACAGTTTTTAAACCCTTTTCAAGAGTACCCACACGAAACACTGAGTATAATTTTTAAGTGTAATCATTATGAAACCTTTATAGTGTATAGGAAACTTTTAAGAGAACCTAAACTCTTTTTATGAATGTTAATTTAAAAGTTAAAATATATCTTTGAGAAAATTCCATATTTATATACCATTCTTTACTGAAAATTCCCTATAACAAGGAATTTTTAGAGTGAAATATTTTTTTAAAGTTGTTTTAATTCGTTAATTTAAGCATAACTGTTAAAAACATGTCCAAAAAATCCTTATTTCATTAAACAAATCAATGTTACATAATTTTATGTTTTATAATTTTTTTTTTTTTTTTGAGACAGGGTCTCANTTGGGCAGAAACTCTTAATAAGCCAAAGATTCTTTCTATCCAGTAGTTATTATGTAGATTTTTAATCGCTTCATTTATTTTTTATTTATTTATTTTTTTAATCATGAGACAAGCTTTTTTGAAAGGACAAGAGTAATTTCTAATGCAAGAATTCGTTTATTATTTCGAAATGTTGGTATTATGTCTTTTTATTTCACAACTTCCTTAATGTTTTTCACTATGTATAGTTTATACTTGTAATGTATTGAGTGTTTAATATTTCCACTTATAATTAAAATTATTATTTTTGCAACTTTCAGATTGTTGAATTAAGCAAAGGTCTTTGTCTAGTAATGGAATATGTTGACATGAGGAGTCTTACTAAAGCCGCTATTGAATTGGGAGATGAACTGGCAAAGTATTAGTGGTTTCCTTATTAAAAATTAGACAAGTATTACAAAATTATCAAAGTATTAGACTTAAGGAGATGTAACATCATAAACAAGAATATTCTGTATTTATTATGGTTAATTTCTGATGAAAAATTGCTGTGTATAACAAAAAAATGCAGTCTAGAATTTTGTTAACATTTTCCTGGAAAGTAAAGGATCTTTATTTCTTAAATGCCATAGGAACTAATGATTTTCATTATTAAAATCCGAAAAAAAAAATAAAAACTGATAACAATTTTAATGCTTAACAATTTTATAAAAATTATTAACATTTATTTGGGCTAAATTATATAAACATTATTTTGTGGGGAGAGGAGTAATCGACTATGTCAACCGTCATCTATGAAAAGGTACCCCGACATAGAGTCGAGTTAACATGTCTTATATACTAGTGAATTGTAGTGGTAGGTGCGCTACCGTACTCCCCCACTAGAATTTTATCTGTGATAGAATTCGATGAACGAATACCACTAGTTGATTCATTGCTGTTTTGTGAAAAGCCGGGAGAGCTGTATTAAGATCATCATATTTTTTTAGTGCTGAATGTGAGAGGTGTATTAACTTCACGGTCGTAGTCGCTCCTCTGCTGCTGTTAGCAGTCGAGTAATCGCAAGTATGCAAGTCGACGCTGTGCGTGATCGAGACGAGACTGAGTAGCAAGAGTGTGAGGAGGTGGATAATGTCGCAGTCACAAGTAGCAAGTCAACTGTTCAATGTGGATCATCCATCGAAGTAGGAGATACTGCTTAGGTAGGCGTGTTCATATCGAAGTGGGCGTTACTGCCTAGGTAGGCGTGTTCACATCTCGTCCGAAGGTCACCAATGTGGGGAGAGGAGTAATCGACTATGTCAACCGTCATCTATGAAAAAGTACCCCGACATAGAGTCGAGTTAACATGTCTTGTATACTAGTGAATTATAGTTGTAATTTTGTAGTGGTAAATACGCTACAATTTTATATTGTGTTACAAGCATGAAAATATATTTACAAATAATCAATAATGAAACCTGTAAATAAAAAATCATCAAATTAAAATTACAATAAAAATTTAATAAAATATATTGAATTCTTTTTAGCTTCAGTTCTAGCTAGTGTATTATTTATTAATATTTTAATGCAGTAACTAGATTCAAACTTATATTTGAAACTATTGTTGAAATTTAGAAATTCATAATTCTATAAAAAAGTAAACATTTTTATTTGACTTTTACGCCAATTATAAAAAGCTTCAAGAATCACAGAAAAATATGGTACTCCTTAATTTAATGAATGATATAAGTTTATGTCGTAATTTACTAGAATAGATATAACCACATATATGTATGTTTCTTTAAATTTTAGAATGCATCTGCACAACCGCAGTTTGAAATCAAATGAGGCATCTATTCACAAAAACACAAATGATGGTGTTCAGTACATTGATCAGTACGGTTTTCATTGTCCTACCTACTGTGGTCGTATTATTCAAGATAACACTTGGAAGGAAAATTGGGCGGTCAGTAAAAGATTTATCAGCAATATTTTAATAATTGATGTCTTTTTGTGATATTTTACTATAAACTTTTTTTCTTGTTTCCTTTTATGGAGCAATTTATTTCCAGCAATGTTAAGTTAAAATATTTTTAAGACTGAGTTTGAATTGGAAAAAGAAATTCATATAGCTTATTACCTAAAACTAATTTGCTTTTTAAGATTTTTTTTGGTGGCAGGGTGGGTGGGATATTCAAAATTTTACCTGTAGTAAGGAATTAACCATAAAATAAAGAATTAACCACAAACTTAAACTTTTGTTCTTATAAATGACCAAATTTATAAATTGCGTTTATAACTATAAATAGACTTGGTGAAAAATGAGCAAATGCATGTCACACAAGAGAAAATATAGCTTCCTTGTGTTGGCCTCTCTTCTTAACCCTACACTAACCCATATTGTAACCCAAATTTATGTAAACAAAGCCCATATTTTTTTTTCCAGAGTATTTTTCAAAATTATCAACAGATTGTTTGGGAAAGACCATGGGTGGGAAAGTGTTGGTGGGAGTTATACCTCCCACTGCCTTATAAAGGGTTAAAATGAAAGTACTTAAGCTATATAAGTACAGGCCCGGATCCGTACTATGAGCTCACTGGAATGATAATTCCAGATGGAGTGACGTCACATTCCGTGGAGAAACGATTTATCTTATCCCTCTGGAAATTGATAAATGATGATAATTCTTGCTGGAAACTGATTCTAGAAGTAATGAATTCCGGTTTCATTTCAGTTGCAGACTCTCAGAATCACTCTTTCCAAATGGAATCATTGGTATTTATTTACAGATATTCAACATAATGTTGGTGACAAATTATTAATTACTTGTTTATAGTTCATCAAACTTAATATTATTTTATCATTTTATTTTTCTGCTTGAAAAAAAAATTTTATTCACAATTTTTGTTCTGTTGTTTAAAACAATGTTGTTTAAAAGAATTACAATTTTATTATAATATGATTCTTCATTTCTTAAAACATGATTCTCAAATTAATTAAAAATTGAAAGCAATAATAAGTAGATCAATATAAGTAGATCAGGATATAATATTTACTTATTTATGTGCTCATTAGTAACTACTTTAAAACAAAGAAAAAATATGTAGTTTTAACTATCAGACAAAAATCATTAATACTTTGCAGGGTAGAAAGATTTGAACCATAATTTTAATTGTGAAAAATTATAGAAATTATGGTTATCAGATACAAATCTAAGATAAAGCGATTTGCTTTATCCTAATTTTATTAAAATTTAAAGTGGTTGATTAAAAATTGCATGGTTAAAAATTATTGCAGCTTTAATGGGTTATATTATTTTTAATGCAGTAGGTATAAAATATGATTTGGTAACTAATCGACAAAATAAAATAAAAATCGATCATCTTTAGTCAAAAATTTATTACCACTTGTTTTAGTTTGGCTGTTTCATCTTAGTCTAGTATTTAAATAAATCGTATTCCAATAGGTTGATCTAGTACTCAATTTCTTTATAAACTACACTATTTCTGTCCTATAAAAATAAGTAAAAACATATCAAATAATCATTTTTAAAAAATCGAGATAAATTTCTTGTATTGCAATTTCCAGGAATTAGAGAAACTATTAAAATGTGTTTAATTATTTACATATTTTCACCGTTTTTATGATAAAAACCTATCTTGAAAAATAGTTGTAAATAACATAAACAAAATAATGAAATTATGCTTTAATTTTTAAAAAAAGTTCATTCTTAGTCGTAATGAGAGTGCCAAAAATATGTTATGCCGAATTTATTGAAACTTCCACATTTCTCACCTAATATAAAATTAAATTTTTTTTAGCAAGAGTTATTGATCGGGGATTTCTATAGTACATTTTGACAATAACTTTGTATTAAAATGGTGAAAAAAATTAATATTTTAAAAAATGTAATTAAAGTTGTTTGTAAATTCTTTGCGTAGAAGGTTATTATTTTTAAATATTTATTTGATCAAGTAATACATTTCTTCAATAAAACGTACAATATACATTTAAATATCTGACATAGTAGCAAAGAAAAAAAATTTTTTTTTCCGAATTTCGCTGTGTTACTAATATCAAACATGAAAAAAATCTTACAAAGATAATTTATAAAGTAATCTGCTATAATAATAATAGTAAGGGAAAATTTAGAGCTTATTTAGCTCTCTGCGTGATTTAACTGCTTAAAAAAATCCCATTTGAAGTTTTTCGACTTTAAAAAGTACATGCTATACTAAGTAATTAATACAAAAAGTAATTGATATAGCTAATTAACTGTTGGATACAATTTGAAATTTAGATTACAAAATCGCTGTAATGAGCAATTATTATAGCAAAAGTTTTTTTTTTTTTTTAATTTTTATTAATGCTTCAAAATTGTCAAAATGGTCTTTTAGTAATTTTTCTTTATTATTTTCAAGTTATTTCCACCTTAACATAGAGTTAAGAAAACTTGCAGAAAAGCCTCTTTTAGCATTGAAAAATAAAGTACCACTGCCCGTCTTAGATTGACTGATTGTTAACTACATCCTAACACCCAACACAAGTTGATATAACTAGAAATCACCTATTCCTTAGCCTTGTTCATGGTAGAGTTTTATGCATCATTTGGAATCTGGCCAGATGAAATTCATTCCTCCATGTCAGAAAGCTCGTGGTGCGGGTCCTGTTTAGTGTAAGGCTTTTAGCTTGACTGTCTTGCTTTTGTATCCAGTCTTAGAACCTCTGGCCAGTGGGTGATTTTCTGTTTTTTTGTTTTGTTTTTGTTTTTCTTTCTTCTTTCAAAATGTGTCTTCAATTATTTCTTTTTTGATCACCGAACTTTTTTTCGATTATTTTTCTGTGTTTGTTGCAGTTTCAAGATATAAAATAAGTTTCTTGTTTGTTCATATTCTTAAAACTCAGTTTTGTGCATTACAGTGCAAAGAGATTTCAATATATTTTCATTCTTTTAATAGCGTTTATACAAAGTGGTGTAAAAGTCAACAGCAGAAAAAGTATTGCTTGCAGTGTATTAGCCAAGTTTAGGCTTACAGTATCAACCATGCTTCATTCCAATGCAACCTGTGAGAGAATATTTAATCCCATAAAAAAGTCCAAATTTAATTTTGTTCTTTAACAAAACAAATTTCGGAGATTTTGTTAAATGTGTAGGTAGACTAGAAAAAACTTGTGGTTTCAGAAAATATTTTTTAAAAAATTAAATGAGTCACTCAGTCTGTTTCAAAACAATTGATTAATGTGATATTTTGTAATTTAAGGAGTAAAAAAATTGCTTTAAATTTAATTCAAAAGAATGGGTGAATTTATTTATTTATTATTTTGCTTGTTAAGCTGTGCCCCAGTCTCCCAAAAAAAAATCTCGTTTTTTTAAAAAAAAATTTTTTATATATAATTCTTAAGTTAGGCAATATAAATTTAGATTTTTATATATCCAAGGAAAAAAAACTATAACATTGAGATTAACTTTTAGTTTGATATATATTATTTTTAATGAACAATTCTGTGCTAATTATAGAATATAATTTGTAGGATATGAGTGAAGATTCGTTGTAAATTTGTTGTAGGAATTCTTTGCTCAAAAAATCGATAGTCAGTTGAAACTGATTGAATCAGATTATGCCGACAGAGAAGCAAGAGAACTTTGGTCTGAGTTGAGTCTCAAAGTGCCAAATTTTTTCAAGGATGTCGAAGTAACCCCATCCCTTTTGCATGGAGATTTATGGTCTGGCAATGCTGCAAGCGCTCCAGAAGGCGCCAGTATGTATGAAATCTATTTTTTTTTTGTAGTGATTATGATTTTTTATTTAAATTTGAAACAAACACTACACTTTAGTAATTAGCATTTTTGCAAATTACTTTCCTTTGCAACTGTTGCAACAAAATTCTGCAATTTATTTCCTTTTAAATTGCAGAATTTTGTCTCTGTGAACTAAAAAATAATAATAATAACGCTAAAATGGAATAATGCCTATTTATAATTTTTATATTTCTAATAAATTACAAATTAAGTCTTTTTAAATGGGTGAAGAATAATCCAAAGTCATTAATGTTTAAACAGAGAAAGTAATAATAATTATAAAAAAAGCAGAATTTAAAAAAAGGATTGTGAATTTCCATGTGTGTAGGATTTTTATTTTGATCTTATCGATTTCATTTTCTTATTATAGTGAACTAAATTGTGGTTGTAAATTTATTTGCACCTATATTTAAATGGATCTATTTATTAATTAATTGAAATATATTTTTTCTTCAATTTTTAAATAATTTGGTGTAAAACTACAATTTTGAAACTTGGCAAAATCAGTAATATAAGTTCAAAAAAGCTTTTCTAAAAAATAAAAAAAAACAGATAAATTTTCTCATAATGAAAAACAAAAAATAAAAACCTGTTTATTTAGGTTGCAAATTTATTTTTTAATTTTACTGCTGTGATATGTAACATTTCCCAGAATTTATGTCATATTCTTTTTCTCCTTTAATAACCATAACTATCTTGTCTTGCTAAATGTATTGCAGTTATTTTCGATCCTGCTTCATTCTATGGTCACGATGAATATGATCTGGCTATAGCAAAGATGTTTGGAGGTTTTTCTCAGGCATTCTTCACAGCTTATCACAATGTTTTGCCCAAAAAGCCTAATTTTGAAAAAAGAATAGAACTGTACCAGCTGTTTCATTATCTCAATCATTGGTATGCAGCATTTCACATCTCTCTTTATTTTATTCATTTATATAATAAGTGAGTAACAAAAACTAGAAGACAAATTGCATTGTACTTTTGTATGAGAAGGCATTACACAAAAAAATTTGTGTTAAAAATTATTAATATATTTAAAATATAATTTTTTTCCCCAAGTATCTAATATATTTTATGATTAATATTTCTGAAGTTTTTTTTTTTTTTTTTTTTTTTTTTTTTTTTTTTTATCTTGATGCAGAATTATTACAGGTTACAATTTACATTATATGTTTCGTATTTTTTTAATACGTTTGTTTTTATAAAGAATTAAATACTTATTATTCTGCCATCAAAAGAAGAAAATCTGGAGATTGTTTGCTGTTATGAAAATAAAAGTGTACTGAATTCTCAGGAGAGAGCAATAAAGAAATGATATAGATAGGGTTTTTAATTGTTAATTAACAGGGAGGGGTACTATATTTAAATGTTTTTTTTTGGGGGGGGGGACATTATTTTACTTATGTGTATCAAATTCAAAAAATTAATGCTGAAATGTCAAAGTCATAAAAACAATTCCATCTTTTGTACAATGAAAGTATGTTTAAAGACGACACTAAAAACTTACTTTTTCTGTATTTATATTTGCCATTGTTAAGCTTATGAGTAGATGAAAATGTTCTTGCTATTATTAAACAGTTACATGCTATAAACTAAACAGCAGAAACACTCCAGAATGTCAGCAGTTAATGCAGATTACCACAGCATCTGCTAATTATTATTCATCTCAGATTTAAAAGTGAAGAACATTATTTAAAATAAGAACTTTATTATAAGAATAAGAAAAGGACATTTTTCTGTTACTTGGATATAAGCTTTTAATGTAAAAGGATTTATTTACCTCTGTTTTAAACATCAATGTGTAAAATTCAAGTTAATTTCAAATTTCTCAATGCTTATATATATATATATATAATATGTATGTATGTATATACACATACATACGTACATGTATATATATATGTGTATATATATATAATATGTATGTATATACACATACATACGTACATGTATATACATATATACACATAAATCTGTTACATAAATTGTGCTACCAGGCACAGAGCTATTCAATCAATCACTTCCTAGGTTTTCTGTTACATTTTCCTCAATTATATTTTGGTAGTGTAAATCTTCATACTCTAAAATGTACAAGAAGCGCAACTAATTTTATTCTATTCAGGAGTTAATGTGAGCTCAAGTTGATAAGATAATTAGGGATCTTTTTTAAATACATAAAGTAAAGTAAAAATCAAAAAACGAAAATGTGCACTTAAGGTTTCTAAAAACAGATTTTTGAATTATGGCTTTTAATAAAGTGATATTGCATATTTTTTCAAATGACATACTATTTTATTATGTAAGAAAATAAGAAAGCAATGCCAGACTGTTTTATGATGTTGGTGTATTATTTAACTTCTACTTTTTTCTCAATTGTAGGAATCATTTTGGTACTGGTTATAGAAGTTCTTCTATATCGATAATGAGAAGCTTGTTACAAAACTTGTAAACATTTACATCTAAGGGAAACTGTAAAACGAACAAGTTGAGAATCCTGTTGGGATCTTCGAAACAAGTTTCGTGGTCCAAAGAGCAGCAAAGTGTGATAGATTTGTAACTAAAATTTGTAAATATACAAGAGAATAAAGAACTAAATTAACAATTATTATGTTTTCCTCTGGCATCTTTTCAGACTATTCATTAATATAGGATTTATGTCACACATAATAATTTTATTAATAATTGGATGGTAATGTGTGCGATCCAACCTTATTTCGTGTATTGTGTGTTTAGTCAATTATTCCGATGATTATAATACCAATTAATTCATATGACTATATGGAATTTGATCTGCTCGAAGAAGTTACTAAAAAAGCAGTTTTAGAGTTATAAACTTGTGATGTGCCAGACATCATATAAGAAAAAATGCATTATGTTGTGAAAAAATTAAAAAAAAGTGGATTTTTAAATTTATAGGAAAATTATTAATTTTAATTTGTAAGTGAAAATATAAAAATACAATAGCGTTGTAATTTAAAACATATTAAGTTGTTGATAAATTTTTCTCAGATTAATGTTAAATCCTAAATCAAGAAATGCTCAAAACTGCTATAAAAGTCGCAGAACAAGCAAAGCTCTTTCAGATCAATTTATGATCAAAGCTGATATTTATTTCATTCGAAAGCATTTCTAATAAAATTAAGAAAATTTAAGTAGAAATGCTTCTCAGAAATTTTATTTTGCAAAATAATACTTTACATCATTAAAAAAAGTGATATAAAAATTTTACTACATAGTACTTATTTATTTTTGATGGTGTTTGAATATTTATAAATACTAAGATCTTGTTGCAGAATATTAGACATAAAATTCCGCTTCTAATATGCTCAATGAATCTGGTGATTTTTATCTTTATCTTATAAATTTGTAGATGCTGTTTATCAAAATTTTTACATTTATATTTGATAATTTGTTTAAGGAATATATAATTAATCTAAGAAATATTTTTTTTCCAGCAAAACAGAATATGTGCAAACTAAGTAGAATATTTTTTGCAGCCCTTAATTACCCCCAGAAAAAAACATTTGATAGAAAAATTTTAGACGCCATGAAAAAACAAAGTGCTTCTAGACAGATTCTGAGAGAAGTAGCTTGACAACTTCTTTCTATTGCTAATATTATGAACACTAAAAAAAAATTTCAGAAAACTGATAAAGAAAAAAATTTTAAAAAAAAGAAAAAAAAATTTTTTTTTTGCAACATGCAATTTATCATACAAGGATGCCAAAGATAAATCTCAATTTTTGTCGCTTATGTTGATTTTTCTTTTGCACATCAGAATACACATTAATCAAAACTAGGATAGGAAAAATCCTAAACATTTTATGAAATATTTAACTAGGTAGCCACTTTCCAGACAAAGCTTAGTTCCCTAAAATTTTTAGACTGAAATTTAAAAAATTTGAACAAAAAAAAAGTTTTAAATGAGCATTTTTTAAAATAATAATTAAAAAATCTACTTATATATATTTATATTACACATGCACATTAAAAATTTATAAAATAAAGAAATTTTTCTTGAAAATAAAATTGCTAATTTTATTAAATTTAAAATTGTCAATTTTTTAAGATATTAAACAATATATAAGTTCAAAAGTAGAGAAAACATGGAAAAAATTACAGAACAATGAAAAAAGGGCAACAAAAAAATCCAGAAAAAAGGAAAAAAATTTTTTTTATAAAAATCCGGAAAATAAAAGATATAATCTTTTCATCAGCTCATACGATTATATACTCAAAAAGGTGTGCTTTCTAATATTGTATTAATATAGCCAAAGCAAAATATATCAATACAATAGCGTGAAAAACTTATTGTTTTTCTTAATTTTTTTTTCTTTTTGTATTTATTATGCTATATATATATATATAATAGATTTTTTATAAATTTTTATTAAAAGCAATTATGGAACTAGACTCTCAACGAGAATAAGAAATTCACAACAATGCGGGACAAAAAAAGAAGCATTTCTGTTGGTAATGTCCTGTTGTAATTTTTCAAAGTGCTAGTATAAGCCAACCTACTCACTTCGTAAAAATTCTTGGTTTATATTCGGAAACATATGGCATACAAGTTTGTATTTTAAAGTAATACAAAACAAACATTTATACTTGCAACTTTAATTTGAATTCAGCTAACAATGAATGTACATTAATAAACAAAGATATAAAATCACAGATGTATTGCTGCAATTGTTTCATAAGTCCACAAGGAGTAAGTAAACTCTTTTTTCCCCTCCTTCACTTCAGAAAAACGAAAACAAAAAATAAGAGAACCATCTGACAAAATAAGGGTTTTGTAAGTTGCAATGAATTATTTAGTACGACACATAGAGGTTGTGAATAAAAGTTGCTGTTTCTTTCCTTTCTTCTTTTTCTTAGAGACACTTTTTACATCTGAAAACAAACAAAAACTCCAAAAAATATGCGTAAAAATTATCCTTGTTCATACAGTATTAATTTATTTAAAGCAAAAAAAATTTACTGTTATTTAACCATTAAATATCAGACTATTATCTTATTTGTAAAGACTTGTCTTAATTGTAAAAAATTTTTTCCCTCTAAATTATGTTTTATTAAATTTTTTAGATTGTTTAAATAAAATAAAAAATAGTTATAGAAAAAGAAAGCATAGATATAATAAATAAAGTTTGATGACCAAAAATAATTTAAAAATTCACAATCTATTATTTTATGAAATGTAAAGTATTGGAATAATGTGCACTTTCTATCGTTGCTTCAGTAAAGGAAGCTTTTTCATGTGCCTTACTGACATAAATCAAATTTTTAAATTGTTAAATCACTCAGAATCAATGCCTAAAATTCTTAAATTTGAAAAAAAAAAAAAAAAGAATTAAGTTTGAAATGTTATGCATCTGAAAATTTTTGCCTAAATTTATATATAATGTATTCCAAAATTATTGCCTATAATATATATACTATTTTAAAAAATCACTTAAAAATTTAAGCAAAAAAGAAAAACACTCATAGGTTCTCTAATTAATACTTACACAATAAAAAACAAAACATTTTCTAATTGTGACCATAACCAGTGAGGTCAATAGAAGAAAGGATGAGGTTATAATAATCTAAAATCAGTTCATTTTAAGATAAAGCTTTAAGCAAATATAATAGATCTAGTAACTAGAGGCTATTTAGTAGGAACTGAACAATAGATACTAGTTAAACTAGTATTTAGTTATTTTTATCTTATATGGCTTTTTCAAAACGAGTTGCAAAACTTTTTTCAGCATCTAATTATTAATGTGAAACTGCAAATGTGCAGAATTTTTGGACTTGAGCTTTTACAAAGTTTTAAAAAATATAAATTAAATATAGTCTTTAAAAACATTTCATATAAGTGCAAAAAATAATAATGTACAGTCAAACCCCGCTAGAGTGAACCTTCAAGGAACCAAAATTTCGGTTCATTATAACCGGGAGTTCACAATATCCGTTACGCAGGCAATTTAACTAATGGTTCCCAAACTCCTCCCTTTTGTTACACATTATTCAAATAAATGACTGAAAAATACTATGAAGTAGCAAAAAATTTGTTATTTTTCATTACTCTTCATCTTGCGTACAAAAAAAAATCGTAATCTTTAGCTGATGACCAATCCTGAACATTAGATATGGAAACACTTCCAGACTCTCAGATAGTTTTTCCTGAATTTCTGCTATTCCGCTTTTTCAACCTGTCTAACCTGCCATTCGAGCACATAAAAGTAGTTTCATAAAATCGCTTAGAAAATTCATCTAGGTACATTTATCCAGATACTGGAAGTTGCGGATTCTTCGAATGGTCAACCACTTCAGTAATGTTTCTTCCACTTCCTTGTGATCTGCTTTTCAAAACTTTTTTCTGCCATCTAAAGTTTTTTCATGAGCAGAAATTATTAATTGCCTATTTTTCCATATGTTACAATGATGTGGATAGTTTATATTCCCTGCAAATATCAGATTGATTGCATCCACTTTCAATTTTTCTGATTATGCCCAATTTATCATCAATGGAGAACATTTTACGTTTACTGTTAGCCATAGTTAAATTCAAGACACTTGTTTGCAGGCTTTTTTTTTAACTGAACTGAGAGCAAAAAGGAGTTGAAATAAGGGCCTTATCAACGCTTATTAGTGTCCAATCCTTTGACCAATATTGAATAACTACTTATTCTCTCTGACAGAAAATGCATATTGATCCCACTGGCACCTTACAGGTCCAATCAACTGCCTGAATTGGAAACATCTGCTTGGTTTGTTTAGGGATTGGAAAGTGAGACAAAAGAAGCAACCAATAAAAAAAATGCTTATCACTACATTCCCCTCTATAGATGGTTTTAAAAATCGGTATATGTATTTATTTTGAAGTAGAAATTTCAAAATTATTACATAAAAAATTAAGAAAAAAATCAGTCGAAGACAGAAAAAAGTTCATTATATCCAACTTCCTCACTTTTTTGGTTCCCTACATCCACAAAAAATAACATTATATGTGCATTGCAAGACACGGGACCGAACATTTTGTTCACTATAAACTGTGTTCACTATAGTGGGGTTTGACTGTATAACATTTCAAGGAGGGGAAATATATATTAAATACATAAAATAAACCAAAAATATTACACAATATATAAAACAAAACAAAAGTACTACTGTACTACTGCACCAAAACAAAACTATTTTTGAAAATTTCAAAAAATAAATAATAATAATAAAATGTTATTAAAATCACTACCTATTTTAATAAAAAAAAAACATCATATTTTTATTACACTTTTTTAGAATATAAGTCATTTGGGATTAATATTATAGTTCATCAAGTTTAAAAAAAAAAAAGGATTTCAAATAATTTTTTCATAACAATACTAGATACTTTTAAGATTTTGTATAGGCTGGTGTGAAAAAAAGCAACTTTTAAACAATTATTGCTAATGCTGTTTGACATTGAACACTGCTTAGATAAATAAGAAAATATCTTTACCAATATTGCTTAAAACTTTTAAAACAGTATATGTTCAGTATACTATTTAACTATTTGAACAAAACAAATAAGAAAAAAAAAATGTTTCTTTTAATGGATCTTTAATGTCTAACTCAACCAATACTAAAAAAACAAATCAATAACATGCTCTATTTTAAAATAAAAAAATTTTGTTAATAACAAACACAGATTCTGACTGAAAATAATTACCTGCATGATCTTGTAAAGAAACAGAATTCAAAGCAGCCTGAATGGCATCACTGAATGATTGGTGAAATTCGGGAGCAGGTGTTCCCTCATCATCTTCTTCATCTGTGTTAACATAACGACATTCCTGGATTGGAGTAACCACTCTCGGCTTCACCTCTTTTGCTGACTGAGAGAAACTTTTCGGGCCAACTTTCAACATCTGCAAAAATAAAAAATAAATGGATTAATGAATTTAAAGCTTTAGATTAGCAGTCATCAGTCATCAACAGGTAACCATTACATAGAAAATTGCTACCAAAATATCTAACACTTATTCCCAAAAACTGGCAATCATGCTGCAGGCCTATCATAAAAGAACAAAATACATTCCATTTATATAAGTAAATTCCAGGTATATAAATATAAATAAGATTCTGTACATTTAGTTTGTAAATACCTATTGCTATTTGTATTACTTATTAGTATTTTTTAAATTAAGTGCTTCTTTTAAAGAAATATTAAATACCAGTTTTGTTGTAAAATATGAATTTACAACATTTAAAAAAAAATTTAAAAAATGGATTAAATAGATTACAAAAGAATATATTAAATCAAAAATCCTGGTACAGTGCATTAGCTAAAAGTCATTACAATTTTTTATCACTATGGTACCCAGTGTCTAATATGTATTCGTAATTTCTAGTCTAGAGCTCTACCTGCAATATATGACACATTACACAGAATATCAGATATTCTTTGATGCTATAACGATGTTCAAATTTGAGTTATCGCCTTCTGAAATGTTCAATTTGTGATGATTCCATCATAATTCATGTCGTTTGCTGGTAGCTTTTTTTAAAAAGAAGTTATCATTTTTAGGCCCTTTTCAAATTCCGATATTTTTTATACAATGTTATTACAATGTGAGAATTTTGATTTTGAGTAATCACTTTCTGATGCTTTTGATTTGCAACTATTCAATTGTAATGTCATGTCCTTTGGTGATAATTTTTTTTGGCAGTTATTTATAATTTTTTATACCCATTTCACATGCTTTATCAAATTCTGATATTTATAATATCATGCTCTAATGGCGATCAAAGTTCAGTTATCACTTTTTGATGCATTCCATTAGGGATGATTACATTCTCTTCATGCTATTGGATGGTAATATAATTTTATCATTCCTTTCCAAAATGTTTTTTAAACTTCAATATATTTAATATGCCATTACAACACCTCAAGTTTGAAATCCGACACACTCCTTCTGCAATGGTGCAGTCAAAGAATCATGTAGTTTCCTGATTGCTTTTTTGTTGAAATTCCACGGTGGAACAATTTTATAAAAAGAAACTTCATTTTTTACAAATTGTTTCTTTCAAATAAGTATTTAGTTAAGGGGCCTTTTTTTAGAATTCAAGTTTTGTGAACAGACTGTTTTTTAGAATTTAAATTTTATGAAGGGGCTACAAAACGGTCCCAATTTGCACTGCAAAATTAGCAGATGATGCAGACCTAAAAACAGAACATCTTTGCATACATATAATTTCTATAAACCATACATGTAATTATATTAACTTAACAGGGAGTTAAAAAAAGAAATACATTTAATGCATCAAAATATTTAACGATGGCATGTTAATTTCACTTAAGATATGGATTACAAAAGACCAGATCTTTATAATGTCTTTGCTGTTTAGTTTATAGTATACATATAATTTCGTAAATTACATATAATTTTTGTCTTTTTCTCGTAGAAGTTGAAAGGTGCATTATTTTATCTCAAACCAGTCAATTTACCTAATATTAGGAGCTTTAATTAAAGAACAAATCATATTTCATATTTGATTATCTCTTTAATTTTAATTAAAGGATTCTTTAAAAAAGAAGAAGAAAAAAACTTACCTGAGCAAAAGAAGTGGTAGGAACATGTTGGTTTTCAGGAATAGCAGGATAACTACAGGCTGATTCTTCATCTATAATATTTGAATTGTCCTCTTCACCAGCTAGAAAAGTTAAATTGTAATCAATTAAACATGATTTAGCCTTAATCATAACAATATTTTGTGTTAGCAGATTTTTTTTAATTAATAGAAACAAATAAAGGAAGACAATTTTAAGAAGAAGTACTTGAAAGACCAGTAGCAGAAACCTTCGAGCACGGCAGCATCTGCAAATTATTTCCCCCCTTAGATTTTTTAAAAATTTTATTTTTTAGCTGGTTTTATATGTAGGATTCACACCACACACTATAGCGACAATTGTCGCAAAATGTTCTACAAATATCACATAAAGCATTTAATGGGTGAAAAGTTTGTAGCCTTGAAATATGTTTGGAATTTACAGAATAGTATCGAAAAATAGTTTTTTGTGTCGAATTTTTAAAAAAAATTGTACTAATTTGTTATGATTGGTAAGGAATTCGAATGCGTGGTATTTAAATGAAATAACAGAAAGGATACACAAAGAACAGTACACTAATTTTTTTAATTTAAATTTTGGAATTTCAAATTTACATGTAGTGCTTCGCTTTTTATTCGTCTACTGACAGTGTAATTGCTTATCAATAAAATAGTAATTTTTTGCTCTTTTAGAATGGACTATAAAGAAGTTAAAATTTTTTACATAATTATTTTTTTAACATATTAATATTACATTTAACATTTATTAGCTCTTCTTAGTTACTGTTGCCCTTACATATTTGGTATCAGCATTTTAATCTCTATATTGAATCTATTTACTAATATTAATTTATCTCTTTTACACTTAATTTTAAAAAATACCAAGATTCAGTCATTATGGGCTAATAAAACTAAGGAGTTAAATATGACAATTAATAATTTTTGATGTGTACCATAATATGAATTTTGTAACTGTAAAGTTTTATTTTTCCCCCTCAAGTTTATCAACCTTATTAAGACTTTGGACCTTTAAATGAATATCTAAGTGGTGTAATTGGATCACTAAATTTTCATTGCTAATGATAACCCTACTTATATGTATGTAACACACTTAAAAACAACTGATGGTCTAAGTATTGACAAGAGATATGTCATTTTAAGGTCTATAAGAGTTGTTCTAGATTAGAAATATTTTCTCATTCAGAATAAAAAAGCAAAACACAATACATACACAGATCAGCTTTCTGTATAGTTTCTTTTGGTGGAGAATTTGACAAATAATCCTCTGGATTGTAAACAGGAAATTGATCAATACTACTAAGATTGTAAGTTGCCTTGGGATCTGAAATTTAAAAACAGTAATTTTGTCTTTAAAATTATCCAATTTTAATTAACACAAAAGCAAACTTTAATATCGTAAAGTTGATCTGACACAAAAGTTAATTTTTGGTGTAAATCATACAAACAGTACACAGATACCAGGTAACTTTTAAAACAGGTAAGCAAACTAATAAAAACATAATTTGCTTAAATTTAGAACAATAAAGGCAAATTTTATGGCAAAAAAATAATGCAAATATTTTCAACTTTAGAATTACTTTGCTTAAAACAGAAAGTTTAAACAGTTTCCAGTATCATTCTATTCCTGCAACACACCATAGTATAAAATTAATATATAGAAAATTTTAATACTGCAGATTACATTAAAAAATAATTTCGAACAGCTAGTTAATATTCCCTCATACTAACATTTAATTAAAATTTGTAATCTAGCTCAAGATTTCATTTGTCAAATATTTCTAAAATAGGGTTAGAATAACCTCGTAACATGGATGTAGGGAGTCAGATCTATTTCATTGATCTCTATTCATTATAATATGTTCACATAGCTGCCAACAAGGATAGGAAAAAATACAGTAGATTTTATGAAATAATATAAATTTCATAATAATTGTTGCATAATATACTAAATATTTTACACACAGGGAATTTTCATAGTCATTAAAATATAAAAACTGCGATATTTTCCACTTATGATTGACATTAAACATGCTTGAAATGTTATGTATTATTTTTACTCATAATTTCGAGTATTAATAGCCATTTAATTTATAAAAGATAGTTAAAAGATTTTTTTCAATTAATTAAAAATTTTTTTAATTAATTTAATCTGAATAAAAATAAAATGAAATTTTTAGAATAAAAAAATTTTTGAACTAATTTCTATAAATGAGGTTCGCTTCATTATGTATTAGCAAGCAATAATCTGTACAAAACTTTTACTTTAATAGGGATTATTTTAGGAAACTAACTCAAGTTTAGAGAATTTTCTAAAATGTACAAAAACCAGGAGAATTTTAATTAAACCAGTAGACCGAGAGAAACTTGCAAAATCCAGTATAGTTGGCAGCTATGTGTTCAGGGTTACTTTTAAACACATTACCTTAGTTACATGAGTTTCAAACGAAAAATGAAATAATAAAAAATCTGAATTTACATTTTCCAAGTTTCTTATTTTCTTCACGTTCAATCATTTTCTCTCTGCGCCTTTCATCCCTGGCCTTTCTAATTCTCATGTGCTTTCTTTTTAAGACTTCACCTAAAGACAATTGTAAAATATTACTTTTTAAAAGAAATTTATCACAATTTGTTTTATTTAATTATTTTATAGTCATATATTTATTAATATAGATTTATGAAAGAAAAAGTTTTGATTTTATTTTATGCATATAAGTAAAATGAAGCATAACTTGATTTTCTGAATACTGAATGCAGTTAAAAAGCAAACAAAGTATGTAATTAAAAACAAAGTTTCTTTTCTAAGATGCCCTTTTCGTAAATTGACTTTTTCCCCCGATTTAAGCATACATTACACTAGATCAGCTGTCGGAAAATTCTGGCTTGCAAACCACAGTTTGAAGACATATTGATTGTTTGGGATAATTTGCGATTTGATAGTGGCTTATATTAATACAAACTAAAGAGCTGAGTTAGCAAACAAAATAAATTAATAAATATTCTTCTTTCTGCTTTTTTGATAGATAAAAGCTAAATTTTAGTTTTATTTTATTGATATTTCTTAATAATTTATAAAGAAAGCGAAAAATAAAAAAAATATTTTTAAAAACCAGAGATTTTATACTTAATTATAATAAAAAAATAACAAAAGATAAAAATTAAACTGAAGAACTTGAACCAAAACAATAAGGTAGCTTTTACGCAAAGCAAACTACTTTCTTGTTGTTTGGAGAAGAAGTAAAGCTTAGCATAAGTTTTTTATCAGTTAAATAAATTCTTATATGAAAGAAACTAAAATACTCTGTCAGCTTTCCAGCAAATCAATATCCGATTTGGAGCCATAAAATTGTTTTTCAAACAATTCTTTGCAATAAAATAATAGTTGAAATTTCAAATTACTACACAATATTCACTAAAGACTTCACAATACTTATTTAAGTACTTCACAATATTTATTCAAGTGCCACACATATTTCGTTCATAAAAGTTTAAAATCCTGGCAAACGAAACAAAATATTACACACATTTTTCAAGTTATCTAACTAATAATAATTTAATATTATATAATAAAAAACTGTTCTTAAAGTATCCCTTTTGCAACAAATAAAAATAAAAGAGAGTATTTCATCACTGTTGTTGAAAACAACATAGAACTTACCTTCAAACTGAGACATAGTCTCTTTTGAGACAACAGAAGAAAAATCCAATTCTGCAGTATTGAATTCGCAGGTTAAGGGCAAATGTTGAAGATATCTCAACCTTTTACGAAGAACCTGTATGAATGCACAAAATATCTTGTAAAATTTAATTTAGCGAAAAAACCGAAGAAGAAAGTTTAAAACAAGTGGATTACTTACTTCAGTCATGGTGACTCTTTCAATTTCAACAAGTTTAGCTGTAATTGTCTCAGGAGCAAATTCCAAGGAGCCATATTCTTTTAACAACATCTTCACATTTATGTTGTGCATATAAATGTGTTGCCCATCTTCAGCTAAAGTTAAATGAAACAGTTACATTACTTTAGATTACTTTAAATTCAAACTATCTATACTTAGAATAAATATAACAATAAGTGACTTTGGTTTGCTTAACAAAATAAATAAGAATAACAAGAAGAAGAAAAAAAGGGGGAAATATATTTTAAAAACTTATTAAGATTCTTCACACTTTGAATATAAAACAGATAAATTATTTCATCTAAACGTATAATAAAACAGTAAAATATAGATAAATAAATACCTTGATAGAAAAATGTCACCCCCTTTCTTTCACAGTCTGAAATAGAATTCATACTTGCATCACATATTCCATGTTGTTGAGACATTCCAAATTTTAAGTTCCCATTTACTATATAAAATAAAAAACAAGTGTTTCAATATTCATTAAATACAGGCACACACATATATAAGGGTATATAAAAAAGAAACTTTATAAAATAACAAAGTATTTAAAATTGAACAATATAGTTATATTAGCACTAATTAAGAAAATAAAACTGACAGTTTGAAAGTATAGTAACTCTTAAAAATTCTCTGGCTAAATTGCAAAGAAAGATTGGGAAAATGAAACTCTGATTAATAAAAATGATCAATAAAAAATAGTCAATTAAGAAAATTATTTCACTAAAGTATAAATTACTATCTCCAGTTATTGTATGGTTAGTCAAAAATATGACAAATTTCGTTAATGTCATATATCATGATCCATTCAGTCAAGTTGGTGGCAAATATGATAATTTTTATATAAACGTATATATATATATATATANGTCGATATATATATAAATAAATAAATAAATACAAGAAAACATGAAGAAAGTTAAGAAAAATAATAAGTTTCATATAACAATAATCCCTTTTCTTTTCTTTTTTTTAAACTGTTGTTTGCTATTTTTTTTACTTATTACTTATTATTTCCCCCTTTTTTCATGTGTCTTTAATTTCTCTTTGTTTTATTCTTAATGTTATATATTTATATATATATATATGAAAAGTGATTACTCAAATTCGAAATTCATGCACCGTAATATCGTATTAAATATTTTTTTACTTTTTCTTAAATTATGCGGAATTTCGTAGCATTAATCATTGAAAAGGTTATAGAGAAATGAAATAGACTTACAATGGAGTCTGTGCAGATTGAACGAATTAAAAAGTGAAAACTCAAATTTGCAATTCAAAATTTATTTTTTTTAAGAAGAAAAAAAAGTTCAATGTGTTCAGAAACTATCTTGTGGGGAGGAGATTTTCTACGCAATTTATGCTTAAAAAAAATTAAAAAAACATTGCTAGGAGAACAGAAAAGTTTCTCAATAGTCTCCTTTTCTTGAAAAAGAGTTGCTTTTTTTTAGCCTCTTTAGGCAAAAAAAGTTGCCATAGTCGCCTCATGTCAAAAATAGTTGCATTTTAGTCGCCTGTAGCAACCCTGCAGTTTCATTTAAATTTGCTTCACTTGGAAGGTTAAGAGTATAGCATATTATAGATATTCATTGGGTGGAAAAACAGCTGCAACTTCCATAAAAATTTTTAAAAAATTCAAAGCTTGGGAAAACTAGACTTTTTAGCATAATTTTAGAAATTTTTGAAACACTGAAGGAAATTTCAGTAATTTAAATACATTTTTCCTAAAATAGATTTAGAGTGACTGCAATTTGGAAACTCACAACTTAAAACCTCAAATGCAGACGTTTTCACAAAATACCCATGAATTAGAGATTCATTGCAGATCATTGAATTTCATTTCACAGCTAAGTACTGTATTTATTTAATTGGACAACAAAATACAATAACAGACATAAAGCCATTTCATAATTTAAGTTTGTTGAACAACAAATTTTACCATAAAAATTTCCTATTTTAGACAAATATTGAAAAACCAGTTTTTTATTTATTCATTTTTTTAATTTCAGTACAATAACAATTATTTCAAGCTCAGAGAATGACGAGATTGTTTTGATTTTCTCAATGGGATTACAACAGGTTTATGTCTGGTGTTGCTTTTTGATTGCAAATTCATTTTGACCACTAACAAATAAGAACACGACACATTCAATGCCAACACCTTTTTTCATAGCAAATACTTTTCAAAACAATAAAAAACAACCTGTTTCATACTAATTATTAACATATACATGTTTTAATTATTGACATATAGTACCTGGTCAACTGAAAAAACTTAGCAAGTTTGGAAAACTTTTCTTTAATCTACTGAAAATTTAAGTACACAATTTAAAAGTTGTAACTGGGAATTTCAAAATTGAATCTCAGCTGCAACTGAAAAAATATCTCCAGAAATTCTTCAAAAAACTTGGAGGAAGATTAATCATCTTCTTGATGTCAGTCAGCAATTAATTATGTCTACAATGAAACGTATAAGAACGGACATTAGAAATTGTACTTTTTCCTATTTTCATTTTAGTAGGAAATTAATATTCATATGTGTAATTAACTACCTTAGCATAATTTTGAAATAATGGCACTTCTTTTTATTTGTTAATGTAATGCATCTTATAAGAAACTAAGAGAAAAAATGGAATGAAACAATAAAATCTTAATTCTTTTACATGTATTAACATATTTTTATTAAAGCAACAAATATTTAAACATACTTTAACAACAACATACTTAAACAACAACATACATGTAAAAACAACATGTAAAAACAACATACTTTCATGTAATTCTTCATAAGACTCAGTTGAACTTGTTGAAATAAGATGTTTTCTCTCTGGTACATTACCCTAAAATGCAATTATATGAAACTTATACAAAATTTTATGTAAATATTTTTATTTTCAAAGAGATAATTTTAACAAGTTAAACTTATTTTAATTTTCCTAAATAGTCTATGTTTTTGATGAACTAAATGAACTTCGTATGATTAACTGCAAGAAATATTTTAAAATAAAATATAAACAAATAATCTTAACCTTATATTAGAAACACTAAAATTAAAATGTGTACATGTCACCAACCTTCCATTCCTAAAACATTAGACAGATTAACCACATTTTAAGATAACAATATGAAGTAAAAGATTTAGTAAATGTATATAATGTATTAAATTTCAATTAAAAAAATTTTTCTCATAAATTACACTTATATTATTTGAAAACTATAAAAAAAGACAAAAACTTGAAATAACTTTATTTAATGCAGGCAGCAATAAGGGAAAAATAGTGACTCAAAAAGTTAAGTTTAACTGTTCGAAAAATTTACATCATAGAAATGAATGTCAAACATTGTAAACTCAAATCAATAAAATTAAACTATAATTTAATCATTAAAAATAAATAAGATACTATAAAAAATTTTGAAAAGAATCTAAAATTTTTATCTAAAAGGTAAAAAAAGAAAAAAACTAAATTATTAAAACAATTATTCGATATCAATCGTTCTTTATTATTTATTAATAAAAAGCATATAAACAAATATAGACATAAGGGCAATGGTATGCGACCAAACTTTTGCTTCTTTTCATTCAATTTGAAATTAATTCTAAGAGCATATTCTCACTAAGTCAGTTTCAGCACAAGTGTAACTAAGCGCGAATATAGTACATCCAATGAGAGCAATTGCAAAGATACTGTCGGGCATTATGTAATACGCAACTTGTGACAGTTTTACTGGTGCTCTCCTTTGAACACAAACATGATGAAATTAAGAGGATTTTTTTTTTTAAATTTTTTCGAGATAATAAAAATTGGGAGGCAGTAGCAAAATACATTTCCTTTTAACAACAGTAAAGTTGAAATTACTGTTATACTTATGCCCACAAATAAAGAGATAAATAAAAAAAAAGGTGGGAGAATAATTAAAATAAAGGTTTAGAGAAGAAATTTGTTTTTGAGGTTATATATAGGTACAGAAGTCATAAAAGACATTGTTTGCAACAGTATAATATTCAAATTTCACGAAGAAACAAAATTTAAAATTTTGTTTTTAAAAGACAAATACTTTGTTTCAATATATTTTCATAAAAAATCACATACATTGCTTCTAGAAATGAGCTCCTTAAGTTGATCCACATTCTGGTTTAAAGCAATCTCCCTTTCATGAATTAGCTGCCATGAGAAAAAAAAATTAAGAATGTTAAATACCAAATAAATTTTTTATACAACTTCCTTTAAATGATAGAAGTTGACTAATGTTACAAACAGGTTGTGGGGCTATTAGTAATCTTTACCAAGTATTTTAAGTTTTTTTTAATGAAGACTTTTGAAATAAATAACAGTAAAATTTTTCAATAAGTCAATTACTCAAAAAATTTACAATTGTCTTTGCTATACATAAACAAAAGTTTCATTATATTTCACATTTTCTATGCAATAATAGCATTAAACCCTGAACACAGTGTTCGTAATTAACATCGGAGCAAAATTCACTTAATAAGGATATTAAGCATGAAGTGAAATACGATCCATGTTTTTTAAAAATTCCTTTAAATTTATTTCATGTTTAAGTACTATAGGATATTGAACACACTGTAAAATATTATATTATTCAATGAGATTTTATCTAGAGACAATATTCTGTTCAAATATTTTCATTAATATATTAACTTTTCAAACAATAATTATCTTCCAACAGTTCACATCAATTGAAAATAGTTTAAAAAAATACAAGAAACATTAATGATAGCATAGGTATAAAGTTTAAAAATTACATTTAAACTAAAATAACAAATAAGAAAAGTTGAAAATCAAATATACAGTAAATTATTGGCATAACTTTGACCTTACTGTAAAGGCAGATTCAATAAAGCAAGCCTCAGGAGTGTCTTTTTCCATTTCATAAGCAGCTCTCAATTCTCTGTTCTCTCTTTCAATAATAGAAAAAACTTCCTTCTGACCAGCCATAAGTAATTTCTGGAAACGGATAACACAATCACCTGGAATAAAATAACATTCTTAATAAAATATTATCATTTAATAGTTCATATTACACAAATAAATTCTTAAACAAAAAATGAGACAAGAAAAAACTTTTATGCTAAGGGTTTTTTCAGACATTTTTCTAACTTTAAGGAGATTTTTAAAATATAATAAAATTTGGAGACTAGGGGAAGTTAACAACATTTAACACCCATCAAGCATCGAGCCCCTGGACTGGACAGAAAATCTGCAGCTTAAACTACAAACTAACTAGAGCTATTTAGTCATTTCCACTATAGCCGATAGCAATACATTTGTGTAGACAGCATGATTTCCTCTAATCAATGAGTGCAATATTCTTGAAGGAGGAGGTCATTGTTGCATGCAAGAAACCAGATCTATTGACCGGAAGAACAGTAGTAGAAAAACTTTTAGTGACTGCTTACAATAGTACATCGATGATCGCAAGTTTGACGAATATCACTGCTCCCGATCATGGCTTACACGACTGCAAGTTCTTACAAAGAGCATTTTTCGATTGTAAGTGAAGAGTGATATTGATATTTTCCCCTGTGTTTCTTCCATCGTGACTCATCCTTTCGCTGACATGATGAATCCTGAAGTGATTGAGAATCAAAGTGTTGTTGAATCTCTTAGTTATGTAAACATGTCTTCATTTAATTGTGCAAATCCTATTTTTGTTTTTACAATCAATCCAGCTGCTTTACCAACCATTTTAAACCATTATTTTGCAAAGACATAATATTAAGAAATTATTAAGAAATAATATTAATTGTTAAGAAACAATAAACATTGTTAAAAAATATCAAAAATACAATGTTTGCTTTGTAAAAAAGATGCAATTTACTAATTATAAATTTTTAATATTTTATTTTTATTCAACGATCGGTTTTACTTTTTAATGCATTTCTCTTTTTCTAATAAAAATTTATCTCAACAAACCGAATTTATGATGGGGGTGAGGTGACTCGGAAGTTTTTCAGTCTTTCTCAATCCATTAGCAAATTTTTTTATTTGTCTGCTCATGAAAATTTTTATAAATACCAGTTCAATGTGCGTTTTTATACTGATTTTATATTTACAATTACTTATGTAACGACATAAGCCGCAGTAGGCTAATTTCTGCCACATGTCTCCTTCCCTCCTACACAAGTTTTTTTGTTGTTTTTTTTTTAAATATAACAATTGATTGTTGATAACTAATCAAAAAGGGCAAGAATTTGAAATTACCCAACATCAAATGTAAAACATTATTGTAACAAAACATGGGAATGTATAAAAATATTGCAATGTTAAAGTGATGATACATCACAATGCTAAAATCTTAACATCATCTAGTCCTAGTATTCAATAATAAAACACAGCATGTACCATTTTATATTCACTACATTTAAGGTACCAATGGCATGCATAAAAAAATAATTTATAAAAAAATACATACCATCATTTACAGTAAATATAGCTGTATGAGCATTTTCAATAGAAACTGGTAAAGAAATCAGTGATCCTTTCTCTCTTTTCATTAAGCATAATTTAATTTCATCTCCAACAGAATAGGACTTGCATAGTTTTATGGAAACACTGTAAAAAAACACAAAGAATAAATTAAAAAAAATATTTTCAGCATTTTTTTTTAAACTTGTCTGATTGAAAGGTAATGAGAAAAGCAAAGGCATTCCAATAGCTAGATTATATGTCTAAAATAGTTATCCTAAGACAAGAACTACGAATTTAAGACTTCAGTAGTAAAAGTTTATTTAAGCAACAAAAATGTGGTTAGCACTTTTAATCTCTGAATTCTATAATTGTCTTTACTTTCAACAGGAGTAAAGGCAGTAAAAATTGACAAGACTGAAATTTTTAAAACAAAAAGCAGATATCCAATTTTTAAAAGGGTAGAAAAAATTAGATACAAACCTTTATACTTTTAAAATATACTGAAGACTTATGAAAGCTTAAAAAATAAAAATCATAGGAAATAATCTCACTTTAATTGATTTAATCATTAATTTTTCATTATTACATAAAAAAAAGTCCTTACCATGTAAAAAATAAAAAGCAAAGAGTCTGATAAACATTTTCTTAAACAAGAATGCCAACAAAAAAAATTTTTTCCTTTTTTTTTTGTTTTTGTTATTTACACAGTAAAACATGTAATGAAGAAAAATGACAAATTATTATCTTAAATTTTTTGCTTGTCTTAACTCACTTTTTTTTTTATAAGAAAGAAAAAAAAACTAAAATCCATCAAAAGACTGAAAACATATAACTGACTTGACTTTCACTCACTGAATTTTACATATTTTTTTTTTTTTTAATAACATGAGAAACAACAACACTTCAGTGATTAAATAATATGTGTCTAAAAACAGATAATAAATGATAAAAGAGATAATAACCATTTAAAGTAACTAATTGAATCATATTTTATATTTAGTTGAAATTTCAAATCAACATTAAGAAACTCTCAGGTTCACAAGATACAAGTTAACTAAATAAAATTACCTTTTTAAATCAGTTTTATGCACTGCTTCAAAACAAATAGGACATTTTTGCCAAGATTTATCTGTTAAAGCCAAATAATGTAGAATGCAGGGCCAGCAATAAACATGTCCACAACGAGTTATCTTCGCAGCAGTTGGTATGTGAAGACAAATTGGGCAAGATGGCATCTCATGACATGTTAAACGCTAAAGAAATACAAAATTATGAGATATGTACAGGGAAAAAAATTATCGTACAAATTTTCAATTGTTAAAACATTTTTTTAGCTACTATGTTACTTTTTATCTAAAACCTAAACCATATTATTTTAAATTAAGAGAAATAATTTGTGAGCATTTTGTTGACATTATAACAACAATTAAATTAAATCTTATAACGAATTTTTCGATTTCTAATGAAGTTTTTAATCAAAAAAACTAACTAGGAATAATTAACTAAGAAAATATTTCTTGCAGGAGCTACTTAATGTAATTTAAATTACATAAACTATACATTTACTAAGAGCATGATTGAAAAAGAAAACAAAGTTGCAGTAATATAATAAAAAAATTATATGCAAAGAATCAAAAATCTGTACATACTATTTCTTCAATTAATGACCACTCTACAAGCTTATCTGGATTATTTTGGTACATAGAATAATCTCTATTATCCCTTGCAACAAATTGGCAACTGAAATTTAAAAAAAAGATTCATTATGTTCATACATAATTTAAAAAAAGCACACATCATGTTTACAGCTTTCCTCCTGATTAACACACACTTTTATGATCCTAGTCAAAATCTTCACCCAAAGTGTTGCCAATAAAAATTTAAGTCTGGGAAAAAGAAAATACTTTAAAATTCTGAAATTATTATCAATGTTTATCAGCGTACAATTCGGGACCAGTATCAAATTCATTGAAACAAAGTTAATTTGTTAGATGAAGCTTAAAAGCTGACAATTATTATTAACACGTTGAGAGTAACATGTATTTGTAAGGAAATTCCCCTCTAGACAAGACATGCTGTTTAAAAGCACTCTTATTGTGGTACAACAGTATGAAGCCTACTACTAACAGATTTAAATAAATAAAAATTTGATTTGTAATACATAAAAATTAAGTGAATTTTAAATAAAATTTCAATTAAATAAAAGTTATTGCTTTTATTTTGATAAAAGAATTAAGACATTAAATTTCAAACTGAAAAGATAAATGTTCAACAAAAAAATTACGTCAAAAAAAAATTTCCAATGAGTCCATCTGATCACTTTGGTCAATTCAAAGTACAAAATGGTAATACTATATTTTATATTATCCAAACAAAAAAGTAATAAGTATTAAGAATAATAAAAATAGCAAAAATTATTGATAAATTTGATGATAGAGTCAAAACTGTCTATACAGTACTAAAATAAAGTTTAAAGGAGGAAGAAAAAAACAAAAGCACCTCAGAATCACAACTTGTAAAAGGAAATCACATATTTTGAATTTTTCGCTTAAATCTGATTTCGAATAAAATTGTTTGAACCAATAGTTTTAATTTTTTATAGATATGTAAGAAAAATTCAAAATCCCAGTTCATAATACTAAGCAAAAAATGTCTAATGGAAATTGCTGGTGTTGAATTTTTATTTTTAAATTGCCTCAAATATACACAAGAAAATTTCTTATTGAAAAATCTTATAAGTAGACTTACTTAGCTTGCAAGAAGAGTTCCTTATTATATTTCGGATGCTTTGAACCCTTATTTTTATTATATCCAGAACCAGAACGCCTACCATCCCAAGCATCAAGAGTAAAGTTCAACAGATGGTTTAAATTTGCTTTCTTACAACCCTGTGAGTAAGATGGTTCATTAACAACTTGTGTTACCTATAAGAAACAAAAAGAGCAATTTATTTTAATCTGAAAGTGAATAGTTAATAGGAAGATAACTCTAAAAATATCTACCCACAAAATATTTTTTATAAAATACATCAAAATATCTTTTACTTTTAGAAAAAAAAGCATGAAACTAAACTTGATTAAGGAAGAAAAAATTGCATAAAGGCTATCTCTTAATTTTCCCATCGTAATAACATGTGGTTACGTACCTTTTCACTAAAACAGGGCAATACATTGATGCATTGAAAAACTTCAATGTTGTGGAATCATCAACAGTCTGATGTCTGGATCGACAATTTTTCAAAGTATCGAAAACAGCGATGGTGAGCATATTTGTTCCAGATAGTATATCGATGGTTTCAAATGCGCAAAAGAGAACTTCTCTATGCCATAGCATCAATGACTGCAACCTAGTGTAATAAGAATTTTCCATCGACCGTAAGTGAACAGTGATAGCTCTGACAACGTTGGTTATTTTTCCCCATGTTTCTTTTAATGTGAGTCATTGTTTTGCTGATACAATGAATTCCGTTGTGATTAAGAGTCAAAGTGTTATAGAATTTATCAGTTATGGAAATGTGCTTTTTGTTTCTGCTATTGCTTTTTAGACAATGCTGCTATAAAAAGTGTTCAAATTCTGCAACTATTAATATATGGCAGAAACAAAATTTAAAAATTACAAAATACTGCAAGTATAAAAACCGCGTTCACTATAAGGAATAAGAATTACTACACGCAAGTACACGGATTGGAGCTTTATAGTGACAACTATTTATTTATTGTAGTTTCATAAAAGATACATGTTTCACCTTTTGTAGCTATTAAGTGTAGTCAAACGCACTGGTGCTAGTGGTGGGAAAGTTGTACAATGCTTTTAACAGCAGTTTATATTTTAATTGTCGATAGTTTAAATGGAACAGTCTCTAACCTGACGAATTTCTCACCAGTTCTGAAGTGGATGCCACAAAATGGTTCCTTTCTTTACAGAATCAAATTATACAGAAAGTGCAACTACTCTTTTTTTCTGCGAAATACAATGTTCACCTTTTGTTTTTCAAAGATAATGAGCCCACTTTGATTTAAGGATACTTTAATGAAAGTAATACCCAGGCTTTTTATTGGACCAAAGAAAAAACAGAACATTACTTTAAAAAATAATTAAGAAATATTTTGGAGCATCATACATAAACCAGATTATTTTTAAAAAAGGTAAACAAAAAACAAACTATAATTGTTTGACTTAAGCAAATTTTATTGCAAAAGAAAAGCAAAATATATTATTTTAAATTTCAAAGTTACTTTGCTTAGAACAAAAAGTTTTACAGTTTCCAGTACTGAATAATACAGGGCACTATTAAGGATCGCATTATTCACCCCTTTTTTCACGCTCCTGTGAAAATGATGGGGTGAGGTTTCGCCCTCTATTTCTCATACTCGTGATATTCCGAATGGAGTGTTCCGTAGTAACGCGCCAATAAGAAAAACTATTTCATTTCTTTTTCCCGGAAAACATTTTCTCATTTTACACATCAGATGGCAGTACCAGGATATTTGTAAGGTAATTGTAGATAGTTAGTTTATTTTAAACTAGATGTCAGCACTAATCAAATAAGTGTATAATATATGTGTATAAAAAAATAGGCACTTTTATGATCGTTTTCTTGAAAATTAACCGATCGTTAAGGGGTTAAAACAAAAAGATGCTAGATCAAAAATAAAAATTTTCAATACGTCAAATCTATTCTTTAAAAATCAGCATATATATTCTTACAAAATGGGATGTTTTAAACACACACAAAAATCAGTATTATTAGGACAAAAAGCATAAAATCAAAGCAAATTATTTTTTATGAAGAATATCAGGACAACTGTAAGTCCTGCAATATGTAGATATAATTGATTGGGAATATAGTACAATTCTGCAGAAGATTATCATTTATAGTTAGTATTAAGAATATTTTTATTTTCTATCAAAATCTAAGTTCTATTGTCTAATATATATATACCTACCTCACTCCTGTATTTTTCATACATAGCTCCATTTTTATTTCTGGGCCTTTTGTCAAAAAGCTCTCTATTTCTTTGAGGATTTTGTTTCTTCCTGGTATCAGGGCGTGGGGAGTGGCTCTCTTTGACTCTAGGCAAACGAATGTGCTTGTTGGCAACATCTAGAATAAAAGCAAAAGATTTGCACTTATTAAATCAACCTTGATCATTTTTTACCAGCTTGAATAACATACTAATTTATAAAACAAAAAGTTTTTTTTTAGAATACTTTAATCACATATTTTTATCATAAAAAAAATCATCTTTAAAAAATATAACAGAACATAATCCAACAACTTGTAATAAGAAATACACTTTAACTTATTGTAATGTAAACATAATGCATGATGTTATACTTTTATTTCAGCACATTTCAAAGCAGAGTTGAAAAAAGTTAATTCTCATCAAAATTAAATCAATTAAGAAGATAATTCCGTATTGGTATAAACACACATGAACTTCAATTCATAAGGGAATTTGAATCTCAAAAATTTAAAAGTTATACCCTTAGAATTGGTCCCCTTCAAGAATGCCTTTACTTTTTTGCAGGTCACTGTTCGAAAAAGCTTAAAAACTCTATTATTTTGAGGTAGATACTGACATACCTACATGGAAATTTTCCATAGAATTTAAAACTAATACTTACACCAACTTGGCGAGAGTTTTACGAAACTAATTAATAGTCAGCTTATATCTTGTTCATGCAACCGTAAAATAGTTGCTTTCTTAACAAGCAACACAGAACATGGTTTGTTTCAGTGTTTTCATCTATTTTTTTTTTTAAATTAAGTTCTTTATAAATGTTACATATAATTTAATTTCAATTTTTGTGTTGCTGTAAAAATAAATACTTCACTGTTATCCAAATTTCAATTCAAAGTTTTCAAAACCCCAGAATTCATTAATTTATATAAACATAAGTGAGAAAAAAAAAATCAAACATTTGAACCTTCTGTCAGCAAAGGTGACTTTCACAATGAGTTTAATTAAAAATACAAACACACAAATGTGCAATAAAAACTTTATTTATGAATGTTTCGAGTTTATATGTATTACCTTGTTTGTTTTTAGGGTCAGAAACAGAGGATTTAGAAGAATTTTTTGAGTTGCCCCAATCCATATCGCCCACTACGGTTGATTCCAGTGTTAACTTTTTCTGAGAAAAGAGCAAATACTCCTTTTGGAGAAATGTGACAATTTTTCGGATTCATGATAAACATTATTAAAAAGCCATAATTAGGGTACAACAGTATAAAATTTATTAATCTTATTAGATTTTGAATAAAAGTTTACGAAATTGTGAGTCGAAAAAAAAGAATTAAATGGCGTAAAATATATTCCCGAGTTTTCTTTAAAAAAATTCAATTAATAATTTTATATTATTAAAATAAGTAAAGGCTGAGCACAAAAATAAAAAAGTATCACAAAAAAGCCGCAATATGCGACGTAAATAGCTGGAGAGCAGATAATCGTCTCGTCGCAATATGGCGACGAAAGTAAATGTTGTAAATAAATAGAAAAAAAAGTATAATTGCCATTCTCTTAACAGAAATATATATATAAAATTACATTTTACAAGAATGAAGAAAATATTGCTTAAAAAAAACATTTTTAATTTTTTTTGCAAACTTCTTTTACTTTTTTGTTTGTTATTAATTAAAAAGGCATTTAAATTATAAATAAAAACTTTCCCTTGACATGAAATTGAACTGATATGAATTGATTTATTTATATTTATTTTGAACTTAAAATGAACACGCGTTTCTTATTTTCAGTATGTTTTCATTAAATTAATTGCTAAAAAGTTTCTATAAGTGAGGAATTTGATTATTCTATTATACATCGTTTATAATATCTCTGTTAGCATTTTATATTTTACCTACTATGCCTGATAACGTATCTGACCCGGCATTACACTAAGTCCCGAGTTACTGACATTTAATTGTTTTAAAGGTGCTTATCATTTCTTATTAATAACAGAATATAAAGCTATTTTTTACTAAAAGTATAGTTGAAGGAATTATGAGATAAGTTAATATTTGCCGAATTGTTAGTTACTTGAACTGCCAAAAGTTGATCAGTTGAACCAATGTTACAGCTCGTTATCCCCATAATAAATCAATGCGTTATCCCCATTTCTAGGATAAATTTTTCCACATAGATGAGAGTCGTCATAGTAGCTAGATAAAAAAATAAAAAAATACTTTTTTGGCATCTTCATCTAGAAATTTTTCGTAGTCTATGAAGATCGTACTGGCTGATACACCATTATAATATAGGGAGAGAATTCAATTTTTAAGAAAATATTTCTAAAACGGAAGTTTATTAAAACTAGAGTTACTGATATGATAGGCTGTCAATAAAGAACAAGATTTCCAGGCGCCACGTGGCGACTAAATAAAAAAACTGCCCTCTAAATAATAACTGATTTTGTGATTTTTTTTAGTTTCTCGCGTACTCAGTCGTGATCCTCGGGAAGATTTTCTTATCGAGATCTACAGCAGAATAATCGCCCACTCATGGCAACCTCTGTGCAGCGACCGGCGATAAACTAAAAAAACATCTACTCGAAAGGTATAACTCGTAACAACCCCAGGAAACATCCTCATATTTTTTTCTTAAAAGAATTTGCAAATTTAAAACCTATTTGACACCATGGCTGATGTAGTTGGCGTGATGCAACAGATCACGGTATGAAAATATCCCCAAATAGTCAAATCTTGGCTAATATTTAGACCTAGGTTGTGATCCATTACTGAAGATGATCTGAAGACATGCCATTTTGATCTTCTGCAGTTGGATGGCTCCTCTGATTTGGTAGCTATGGGGGGTGGAGTTACAGGGCATGTCAACCGTCATCTATGAAAAGGTACCCCGACATAGAGTCGAGTTAACATGTCTTATATACTAGTGAATTGTAGTTGTAATTTTGTAGTGGTAGATACGCTACAGTACTCCCCCACCAGAATTATAGCTATGATAGAATTCGATGAATGGATGCCACTAGTTGATTCATTGCTGTTTTGTGCGAAGCCGGGAGAGCTGTATTAAGATCACCGTATTTTTTTGAGTGCTGAATGTGAGAGGTGTATTAACTTCACGGTTGTAGTCGCTCCTGTGTTGCCGTTAGCAGTCGAGTGTATGCAAGCCAACGTTGTGTGTGATCGAGATGAGACTGAGTAGCAACTGCGTGAGGAGGTGGATAATGATGCAGTCACAAGTAGCAAGTCAACTGTTCAATGTGGACCATCCAACGAAGTAGGCGTTACTGCCGATGTAGGCGTATCCAGATCAAAGTGGGCGTTTTTGCCAAGGTAGGCGTGTTCACATCACGTCCGAAGGTCACCAATGTGGGGGGTGGAGTTACAGGGCATGTCAACCGTCATCTATGAAAAGTTACCCCGACATAGAGTCGAGTTAACATGTCTTATATACTAGTGAATTGTAGTTGTAATTTTGTAGTGGTAGATACGCTACAGTAGCTTATCAACCAGAGGATATTATCACATTGTGATCTGTGGCACCAACTACAATCACCAAGGCATGATAAAAGATTTATCCAGGGATGGCTTCCAGTTTGTTACCTTCTCGTAAGCCGATGAATCGAAGTTGGCAATTATTTTGTAGCAAATCACAATAATGAAAATCCTAAAGAGCAATACCACACACTCACTGCCCCTTCGCAGGCTGATCAAATTGGTAACCCATCACTGAAATCAAGCTCACTGATGCAGTATTACATTTTTTATGCAGTCCGAAATGCAATTTTCTGCAAGAAATCCTTTTTTGTGATCAGTTGATTGCTATACCAGATAATTTCAAACTTTCCACTGTATCCAAAGCCCAGTTCTTTTTAAATAAAATTTTTTTTGGTAATTTACTGTTTATTTTTCAATTCTACTTATTCCTCAGTATTTTGGAATTCTTTATACTTATTATTTGGCATTTTCCTTGAGAAATAGAGAAGTTTTCTTCTACTTATTCATATTTTAGTAAAAGAGTTACTTTTAAAAATACTTTTTAAAATATGCATAAAGTAATAAAATTTATTTGTAACTTCCTAATTTTTTTTCTCTTTTATTTCCAGGAAATATGGAAGAAATTTTAATATCTTGCATAATTGCAATTGTAATTTTTCTTGGTACATTCACATATCTCTTTTTATGGAGGAGAGTACCTGCACAGCAAATTGTAAGTTATAATGCATTCTTATAGTATAATAAGATTTAATCTAATGCTCTCCTGGCATACACCTGTAAATGTTTGTTATTAGAATATTTAAAACTGACTAAGGTAATTCATGTCATTACAGCAAAGGATACAGATTGATAAACTTGATGAAGAAAAGAATTCATGTGATATAATTTTTGCTAGTCAGACTGGCAATGCTAAGGTGAGAGCTCAATGATTTTGTTACTATTTCCTGTATGTTATAAGATGATGCTAGTCAGGGGTCTGTTAAGAAGAAATTGGGCTCCGATAACGGACTCCTTCACAAAATATTTTTTCATTAAAATGGGTCCTTCAAGAAATATCTTTTCATGAAAACGGACCCTTCACAAAATGATTTTTCTTTTAATCCGACCCTTCACAAATTTATTTATCTTCGTTATTTTGTTAATCGAATAAACCCTTCCCAGGGGGAAAAAAGAAAGAAAGATGGATGTAAACTAATAAAGTTTGCTGCATTTCTAATTCAGAAGCAGCAATTGCTGTTTATTTTTGAAAATTTAATTTCTTTAAATTATAATTTTACAGTGTTGTGCATAATTTTGTATCTATTTACAATTTAAAAACTCCTTAAAGAAGTTTTTTGCAATAACAGGACCCTATTTGCACAAATTCATAAAAGCAGGACTGGTTGAAAGAATGTGACTTAACGTTTATTTTATATTCACAAATTATGAGTAATTTTTTCAAAATTTTACAAAAACTGGACCTTTCACAAAATGTCTGGACAGACCTCTGCTGGTACAGTTTGAAAAATTTCCAATCGCCAGCTCTCCGTGGGCAAAAAAGTATTTAAGCGTAACAAGTAAATTTCATCTTTTAAAAATGTTGAATTTCAAATTAAAGTAGATATGCCTAGATTATAATGCTTTAACCTGAGGCACGTAGCAGCGTTTTAATAACAAGCTGCGGCGTTTTCTTTTATTTCAAACAAAGATGCTAAGTCACATGCTTTTCACCCATGAAACATTGTATCTAGAAATATGGATACTTTTATTTTGATTGATATTGTGTTAATATAATATTGTTTATAAATAAAGTTTACTTTTTAAGAAGAAAATTGACTGACTTACTAATTAAAAAAGTTCGACCGTCTCTGGTTTAGAACGAACCCTGACAGGGTTGCCACTCCACAGGGAAAACCTGGAAAATACAGGGAATTTAAAAATCACCTAAAATAACAGGGAAAATACAGGGAATTCGGATTTTTTCTTTACAAACTGGGAAAATACAGGGAATTTTGTTTCTATCTTTTGTCTTTTAAAAAATAGTAATTGCTCAAAGCATAATCTATAGGATATTTAACCATGATATTTCAGCTATACTAAACTATTTCATTTACTATAGCATTATTTAATATGTTCAGCTGTTTTTCCAACAATTAAAACTAATAAATATAGTTACCCCAACAATAGCTCACACAAGAGCCCAATCGCCCAGTAAATGTTGTTTCCTCTAATATATTGTGTATAATATGTACAAAGAAAACACAGGGATTTTTTTTCCAGATATGAGTGGCAACCCTGGGTGACCACTCAATGCAATCTATGGGATAGGATGATATTCCAACTATGCTAAACTATTTCATTTACTATAGCATTATTTAAATATGTTCAGCTGTTCCTTTTTTTCTCCAAGATTTTCCAGCAATTAAAACTAGCATAGTTCGCCTAATGAAGCACAAGAGCACAGTAATTGTGTTTCCTTTTAATATAATGTGCATAATGCATGGTGCGTAACGTTTTTAAAAAGTTCTTAAAAGTGCTTATTTATGATTTTCGTTTTTTAAAGCAATTTAAACTGCTTTTTTCAAGAGGTAATTTTAAAAAGTGGTTAATTTTCTCTTTTCGAAGATTTTTTCTTTCTTTACCATGTTGAATGTTTTCACAATTCATTTCGGCGTGCTGTTTGTCCGTAGCGTAATAGCATCAATCATGGTGACATATGAAGTACTTGAGGTGTCTGCATGTGCGTCTACTGAGTTGGATTAGTTGAGATTCTTGCTACTCTGCTGCATTTTCTCAAGATGTTCTCAATTTCTAGCTTCATTTTCTACCCTCTGATATCGAGCCGAAAAATCTTTTGATCATTTTAAAATGGCTAATATAATCAAGAAAAGAGTTCTTTGTCAGAAATTGGCTATTTTATCAGATCATGTAAATTCTTTGAAAATTATTTTGCATTTTGTTAATATGTTTAGTGATTAAAAATACTTTTTGAGTGCTTAAAAAGTACTTCAAAGATGCTTATTTTTTGTTGGGAGATTCGGCTACGCACCCTGCAATATGTACAGGGAAATTTTTTCCCAGATTTGAGTGGCAACCCAGGTAAAATTTTGAAATTTATATTAGCAATAGTTTAGAGAAAGAAGATTTGAATATACAGGGTTATATTTTGAAAAAGTGTAATTTTTCAGTGTAAAGATGGTTTCTAGAAATGATTTCCAATGTGATCCTACTTATGCTATATTGTTCTAAGCTGATGTTACTAAATTCACGCAAATGCTGCTTGTCTTTTTTTCACTTATACATAAATTACACATCCGTACAAATTCTATTAAAATAAAATTAATCTTAAATTCAAAAGTATGGTTGAAGGCATTTTATA